TTACAAATATATTTCACGAAACCAGGAATCTCAAAACCATTAGACGCTAGAATGATACTCTGCACATGTTAGACACAAGAAAAGGCCAAAAAGTAAACGCCACAAAACCCGCCAAATCCACTTGCAGTCACAATCAACGATTCTACGAATCGCAAGCGCTCGCGAATCATAAAACCGCTGACTGCGACACTCTGAAACCGAAATTGACAGGCTCTATGCGTCAAACACCCGCCCTCCAATCTCCTCCCGCATCCAACAACACAAATCTCCATTACAACATCTAAAGAATTCAAAACTCCGAAAATCACTCATCTATAGCAAGTGCGTGGAAGCAACCCTGCATGCAACCATTCTTCATGATACACTTTTGATGTTCCGGAGGAAGTAGGGAAGCTGAAACTTTCAAAGTTTGCCAAGAAATACATGATTTGGCAAGCGATCTGCTCATGTGGCAAACGGAGTGCGCCGTTCGTCACTACCGGGACTGTAAACGGGGAGATCTACCTCAAGGAGTGTCTACAGAAGCATCTGCTTCCTCTGTTGAAGCAACACGAGGGCCCTACGATCTTCTGGCCGGATCTAGCTTCGTGTCACTATTCAAATGTTGTTCTGGAGTTGTACGAAGTCAACGGGGTCACTTTCGTACCCAAGGACATGAACCCCCCCAACGCACCAGAACTAAGGCCCATCGAAAAATACTGGGCTATTATGAAGCAAGCACTACGGAAGCATCCCAAGGAGGTCAAATCTGAGGAAGACATGAAGAAAAAGTGGGTCTCCGTACAGAAGAATCTGCGGTCAGATGTTGTACAGAACCTAATGAAGAATTTACGTTGTAATATCAATGGTGCTTATATTGCCTCGGATGGACTTAAGTCATATTTTGTTAAGAAAATCTTTAATGTTTATTAAAATCTAGAAAAACATCGCGTCATATAAGAAACCAATGACCATTCATAAAGCTGCTGAAGGAATATCAACGATAAGTTATAAGAAACTACTGATAGAGCACTTTCAGAAGAATTAAGATGAACTTTTGAAGCTTCCAGGCGAACTTTCGGGAAATCAGATGAACCTCGCCAGAAAAGCCGGAGGTATCTTCCGGAGCAATGTGGCACAAATTTTCAGAGGAAGTTGGAAGAGACTTCCAGGTAAAGTCGGGAAGAATTTCCGGGTGAAATATGAAAAAAAAACATCCCGTGGAAGTCGGAAGACACTTCCAAAAAGAGTCATAAAAAGAGAAGTCCCGCGAGACGGAAGAAAGTTCCAGGAGAGATCAGAAATAGGATGCAATTAACACATCCAGAGGAAGACAGTTGGAGAAAGATGTAAGAATCTTCCAGGGCAAGTTGGAAATAATTTCCAGTAGATGAAAGATCCAGTTTCCATGGTGTAGATACGGTTCGTAAAATCGTGATGTCTTTCGTCGATAGTTGGTGGTCCTCTGTGAAGATGTGTTCTGCAACCTTTGATTTGGAATCATATATAAGCCTTTTTCCTCTTGCTTTTTGGCCTTATTAACCTCCGCTATACACCGTGTCCAATATATTCTCATACACCTTTTGATCTTGTCGTAGTGGTGAAGCTACAGTTCATACACTTTATATGGATTGGTGTAATCTTGCACTGTGTTTACACAAACCATTGACGGTTCTGTTTGCTTATTTTCATTCAGTATCCATCTTTTATCAACGATGAAAGAATTTCGTGCTGTGGTAATAAAAAAGTTTTTGGAAGGAGAGCGCCCTGGCGCTATTTTCAAGAGTTTGCAGAATCTGGGAGTAAAGCGAGATTTTGTGTATCGAACCATTAGAAGGTACCGTGAAACTTCCTCGTTAGATGACCGGAAAAGATCCGGCCGAAGACGTTCAGCTAGGACTGAACGAGTGATTAAGACCGTCAGGGAACGAGTTTGACGAAAATCACAACGCTCTGTACGTAAAATGGCCGCTGATCTCAATGTCTTGAAATCGACCATGCACAATGTACTCAAGCAGGACCTGGGATGCCAAGCTTTCAAGAAACGTAAAGTTCACGGAGTTTCGGAACCTTCCAAGAAGAAACGGCTTGAAAGAGCAACTCTCCTACTATCGCGGCACACTGGACGAGACTTTGTCTTTTCCGATGAAAAGTTATTTGTCCTGCAGCAGTCTTACAATGTCCAAAACGACAGGTTGTGGGCGTGTAGGTCCAGGGACATCCCAGATAGGGACAGAAACATTCCACGGTTCCAAAGCGCCGCTTCCGTGATGGTATGGGGAGGTATTTGCAAGCGCGGCAAGCTACCGCTTGTTTTTATCGAGAAAGGGGTTAAGATCAACGCTTTATATTATAAAATGGAAGTTTTGCAGAATGTCGTGAAGCCAAGCTTAGAAAGAATGTACGGGAAGGATGATTACGTATTTATGCAGGACGGCGCGCCTTCTCATACAGCAAACCGACTTTTTGGCCAAGGATGAATGGCCTCCCAGTTCACCAGATCTAAACCCCTTGAATTATTTTGTGTGGTCATACATGCTGTCAAAAATAAACGAACACAAGGTGTCCACTTTGGTTCAGTTTAAAGCCGTAATCCTTCGAATTTGGAACGAAATGCCGATGGAAGTCGTGCGTGCCGCTTGCAATGGGTTTGAAAAACGTTTGAAGCTGGTCAAAAAGGTTAAAGGCTATACTATATTACCTTTCAATAAGCACAATTACTAATAAAATCTGAATAGCTGATGTGAAATAATCGATGTTTGAATTTGTATGAGAATATAAAAATATGTTCTTTAAATCTAGTTAGAAATGAAACAGAAATTTCTGCATAACTCGAGAACTAATCAAGCAAATGGAACCAAATTTGGCATGTGGAGCTATAAGGAGACAGTAATAGGGGGTAGTCCCTTAGATAAGAGGAGGGATACGTACAATTTAGTATGTTTTTTTTTTAATCGGCGCATGAACTCAAGCTAATATTGAATCGCGAACAAGGCCGGGCACCCTCAGCTAGTCATTGATAAAAAAGCGAGAATTCTACAAAGGAGATTATTTACAACCCTCACCGCAGCACCTGAACCCTTGAAACGAGTGTCCGTTCCATTTGATCAAGATATTACTTGTTAGCTAAGACCACAGTTAAAACAATTCGGAATATATTTAGTTTTCACCAGTAGACATAACCAGTAGAGTGATGCAAAATTTGAAATTTTCGCTCCACAATACTTAAACGATTCCAAATCGGATCCTGACTAACCTCTCAAAATTTGAACCCATTTGGTGAGAAACTGAGATGGCACAAACCATTTGAAGTTTGTATGGGAATTACTATGCAAAAACCAAGATTTTTGTTCATGTCTATCTAATAATTCACCATATCGGTCTGCTTCAAAAGCTTTCAACTGTACTTGTAGGAAATCCCCAGCTACAATTTTGCTCAAGACCACTTTTTGATTAAATGCAAGGATCGAAAGTTATCAATAGTTCAATGCGCTGATGTCTTATGATCATGCTCAATCGACTGCTCAGCAGACAACATTGGTGTTTCTGGGGCGTTGAATAGGATACAAAAATCATGGCTACTATGTCACATTGCAAAATACAGTGTTGCCTACAGAGCAGCTGCTTGATCATGTCATAAGTCTACCAATCTCTTAAATAATTAATAACTTTTTCCTGTCTCGTTTTACATAGAAACGATCTTCAGCAAAGTTGTGGCAATGAACAAAAAGTTGAGATTTCCCATAGTAATTTACATGTAAACTTCAAATGGCTTGTTGGAAATCTGTTTCTAACCAAATGAGTTGTAACTTTGGGAGGCTAATCAGGACCCGATTTGAAACCATTTAAGCACTGTGGAGCGAAAAAGTCAAATTTTGCATCAGTCTAATAACCAGTTGATTTTTAGGATCCACTAAAGACCCAGTTAATGTATTAGGTAAAGCAGGTGTATATAAAATAAGCTCTAATCATTGTAACAAAGTATACGTAGGACAAACCAAGAGAACTTTAGCAACTAGATTTAAAGAACATATAGCGGAGGTTAATAAGGCCAAAAAGCAAGAGGGAAAAGGCCTAACACATCTTCACAGAGGACCACCAACTATCGATGGAGGACCTGTTGCCTGCTGAACAGTTGATTGAGCTTAATCATAAGACATCAGTGAATCATTAATAATGTTTGTTCCTTACATTTGATCGAAAAGGGGTCTTCAACAAAGTTGTAGCTGAGAAAAGCTCAGCTATATTTTTTTTAAGTAGAGTGAATTTTGAGATAGATATGAAACGAAATTATGGTTTTTTCATAGTAATTTCCATATAAACTTCAAATGGTTTGTGCCAAATCAGGTTCTTTACTAAAGGAGTTCAAATTTTGGGAAAATAATCAGGACACAATTTGGAACCATTTGAGCACTGTGGAGCGAAAATTTCAAATTTTGCATCAGTTAAGTAGCCATACATGGCCGGAGATGGCAACACTAGCTGTAACTTTGTCATGTATATGGAACCGTCATAAAGATAATTATTTAATGTGTACTCAATACTTCTTAAACAAAGTATGCCTCTAAAATGACATTCTGACATTGTTTTATGCCTAAAAAAGTCCTTTTTATATGAAATGTTGATGGAAAAATCAATTTTAAGGCTATAGCTTTACCAGTTTTTGACCAAAAAGCCAAAGTCCACACACAAAAATTAATGTCATTAAGTCTCACCGATTTTTCAAAATGCGTGTTTGGACATAATTCAGAGAAAAAATGTTTTTTTTTTGAGAATGTATACATCACTTTGGAGGTATTTGAGTATTTTTTAAAGTTACATAAGATATTTCCACTCACATGTGCGAAAACCGATTCAAGTTTCCACTAAGATACAACTAAAATTAAAACAGAGGATCAAGTGTGTCCTATCGTATCACCTATGCATAGGTTTTGAATTGAGTTTGAAATATTGACAGCTTTTCATAAAAAAAAAATGAAACTGAGTGTTGTTTCAGTTTAATTGTTTAACCTAAAATTTACCAATGACTGGGTCCTCCGTCTTTTTCCCTTTTTGGGAAGTTCTTGATCATCGAACTAACTGAGTTATTTTTTGGAAACTACAATCACACATGCCGTCATTAAAATCTTGCAAAACACTTATTAATTCTAGCACTGATTAAGCACACATTATTTGATACGTCATTTGCACAGCAAATTTGTTTTCCACCTACGCAATCTCTGCTGGAATTTTTCACTGGATTTAAACAATTCTCGATTAATTTAAATATCAATCCTAATCTTCCTTCTTGAGCAATAATTTACACGGTCGTCAAACGATCGATCCCACGGATCTCCAGAATCCGATTTGCACTGGTGTCTTTCACTGAACTTGATTGCCACTAATCGATAGGTAATATGTAGTCAGAAGCTAACAACTTTCACATCCGAACCGGAGCAGATTCCAACCGATACTGGAATAAGACCACTGTGTTGCTGGCCGGGAGAATCGTCTGTAAACGAGCATTTTCGAGTCGTCGTCGTCGTCGTCGTCGTTCGAATCGAGAACAGAGTCGCATATTTTCCCGGGGAAGCAACCGAGTAGTAGGAGGCGTGGAAAAGCAGGACAAGCGGCAATGCATATATACAGTGGTTGTGAAGGCAACAAGCGGAGACACGACACTTTCAACGTGACTTCGATGGATGCCCTGTCGTTGCTATTGTTGTATGCCTACTGTGAACCGCGCGGTCATTTGAATGATGGTGAGGGGGTGGGGATCGATCGGTTACGGTGGATAGTAGTCAGCGGTGCCGACAGATAGAAACGTTTACATAAAGGTGTGACTGTCCTGGAGTGTGATGACTAGTCAGTGCACAGCGGGGATTGTTTCAATAAATTAGAATTAAACAAATTTATTCGCAGTCTATTTTGAAAGGGTTTGCGAATCTTTTTTTTAAGCCTGCTGGGACTATTCAAGCAAATATAGATGAAGAAATTTTCAATAGCTAATTCCATCCCACTGTGCCGAACGAATGGGAGGGAAATGCATATGTAACACCAATCGAATGATGCATACTAGGCAAGAAAGTTGTTCTCGAGTAGAGAACTAGAAGTAATGTAAGTAGGGGTAGACGGGGCAAGATCGCCACCCGAGGCAAGATGAGTATCCTTTAAGTTTATATCAATAATCTTATATTTTTAGAAACTGCACATACGTACCTTGAAACAATGATCATAACCTGCAACATTCCCCGTATATCCTTACACTACAGTGCAGTATGCGCTCCGGCACACCAGCCGGATGGAATTTGAAGATTACATCGAACGGTTCAGAAAGCGTAATACCAATATATACTGCGATGCGTGGGTGAAAACATGACTATGCTCTCGATACCTTTACCGGCAATAGTTGTTACGAAACGGAAGCCATTGCGTAACATTCATCCACCGGTGGGTTGCTAAAAGACATGGCATGGTGTGCCACGCTAGGATATTCAAATTACTTGAGGACCAATCAATTTTTACCCGAGCTGCCTACGTATAATCAATTTAAATCAATCTGCTGCGAATCTATTTATGTCTGCCTATTACTTGCTGGAAGGTAAATTTTTCCCATTATAAATTGTTAGTTGTATGCATCTGTTGATAGTAGGGGAATTGACGGCTTCGGCACTGCTTTACTTATTTTTGTCAAGTGAGTAAAGTCTTAGAATGTTTTTTTTTTTTTGAAAACGATGCTCTGGAATAAGATGCACTTTTGATCAAAAAATCAACACTTAAGGACTTTACTTTCCCCTTTGACGATAACAGGTACAGAAGTGCCGAAGCCCCCTTCTATAAGGAATTTGGGTTTAGAGAGGACTTATAAGCGATTTTCGTACTTTCCTGGAACATTGAATTAGTATTTTTCCGTGGATAGTGAACGTTGCTAGCATCCCAAGGGGATCGAAAAGGCTCATCACACAGCTCACCGAAGACACGGGTACGAGTTTGGAACGAGTCTTGGGCATAGCTTGGTGTCCGCTAGGGGATGAATTCACGTTTCTAGTGAAGCTACGGGATGAACTGATGACGTATCTGTCAGGAGAGCAAAGGCCGACAAAAAGGGTGATCATGAGCCTTTTCGATCCCCTTGGGATGCTAGCAACGTTCACTATCCACGGAAAAATACTAATTCAAGATTTATGGCGTAGTGGCTGCGACTGGGATCAACCTATTGATGACGAATGCTGTGATAAGTGGAACCGATGGATCAGTTGGCTTCCGGAGATTGAAAATGTGAAGATTCCACGCCACTATTTTCGAAGGTTCAGTTCAGTCGACTACAGCACTCTACAGCTCCATGTCCTCGTTGATGCCAGCAAAGATGCATATGGTGCTGCTGCATATTTCCGTGTGTTAACAGATGAAGGCCCATTGTGTTCACTGGTGATGGCGAGATCGAAGGTCGCTCCGTTAAAAATGCTGTCAATACCTCGTCTTGAGCTGCAAGCGGCAGTCATAGGATCCAGGTTGATGAATTTGGTGATCGAGGCTCATTCATTGGTGGTGGTGAAGCGGTTCATTTGGTCCGATTCCAGAAAGGTGATTTCTTGGATTCAGTCGGAGCAACGCAAATACAAGCCATTCGTCGCTTTCCGGATTGGCGAGATTCTGAGCCTCACGAAGCATAGTGAGCGGCGATGGATCTCAACGGCGAGTAACATTGCGGACGACTTAACGAAGTGGAAAAAGGGCAGCAGTCTAGATTCGAACGGTCCTTGGTTCCAGGGCCCACGATTCTTGTACCAGCCAGAAGAGGAATGGTCGCAGCAAGACACCGTAGAACCGAATACCCCAGAGCAAGCCCGAATATGCCATTTGTTCCATGATATTTCGATAGTCGAGACGGTAATCGATGCCACGCGTTTCTCTCGTTGGAAGGTTCTCGTCCGAACAGTAGCCTGCATCTACAGGTTCAAATCCAACTGTAACAGGAAACGGGAAGGCTTCGCGATTGAGGTGATTTCAGCACCACCAAGGGTGCAACGGTTGGTGAAGAGGTCTATACTAACTGTGTCGGTTCCACTGAAGCTAGAGGAGTTTCAACGTGCTGAAGCCTGGCGGTCGGCGCAGGCAGAGGCCTACGAAGATGAAATCACAGACAAACAGACATAACTCTTTGAAATTTTTTTATTGAAAACATAGTATCTCAATACATAGGACCTCAGTAACGACATCTCTCAGGCTTCTCGCGGAAAACAAGCTTGCTCCCTAACTCGCAAACAATATTGCATGAAGTTCTATAGAATGTATAGAAACGTCAAAGTGATCCAATGCCAGCGCTGCGGCGAGTAGTTCGCGAAACTGATAATATTCAAAACAAACCGTTAAATGCGTGAACGAAGATACACAATGAAGAGTTACGTCTGTTTGTCTGTGATGAAATAAAGATCCTTGTGAAGAACCGTGACCTTCCGTACAGCGAGTGGCATCCGTTGGAGAAGAATAGCAATTTACGATTATTACGTACGATAATTAGTACGACGTCAGCCCGTTTTTAGACGAGCAAGGTGTTCTCCGGATGGAAGGCAGAACCGCACAGGGTTCATTCCTTCCATTTGAACTCCGATTCCCGGTAATCTTGCCTAAGAAGCACCCAATCACGACGAAGTTGCTGGAATATCATCACCAACAAGCGGCCCACGCAAATGGGGAAACTGTGGTTAACGAACTCAGTGACGGCAGTGACGAAGGCGTGTGTGTGGTGCAGAGTAAAGAAGTGCCAGCCGAAGATCCCGAGAATGGCTCCGCTTCCGTTGGCTCGTGTCACCCCTGGTTGGCAACCATTCAGTTTCACTGGAGTGGACTATTGCGGACCGCTAACAGTCACGGTTGGTCGTAGGTCGGAAAAGCGGTGAATATGCCTATTCAAATGTCTATCTACAAGAGCAATCCATCTGGTGGTCGCTCGTGGCCTGACGACGCAAGCATGCTTGATGGCGATTCGAAGATTTGTGTGCCGAAGGGGCAAGCCGGTGGAATTCTTCTCTGATAATGGCACGAACTTCCAAGGTGCGAGCAAGGAGATAGTTAGGACGATAGAGAGAGATTGCGAGGAGGCGATGACAGACGCTAGAACCCGCCGAGCGCGCCCCATATGGGCGGAATTTGGGAGCGGTTGGTCCGTTCAGTGAAAGCAGCTTTGGTGGTGTTCAACGACGGAAGACGATTGACGGACGAAGTATTGCTGACTACGTTGGGGGAGGCAAAAGACCTGATCAATTCCCGCCCTTTAACGTACTGTGGCCTTGGATCGGATACAACCGAAGCCCTTACGCCGAATCACTTCGTGAAGGGTATCGGGATGACCGGTAAAGTGGAACTGGTTCCCAGCACGAACGAAGCTGAATGCGTCTCCATGCAACAGTAAAAGACAATGTAACCCGGTAGGACATCGCAGCAGAAATAGACCCAGAGGTTCGTGACGGAGGAGCCTCAACAAGGAAATCAGGCAAGTCGATAGGAATTTAGCCTGGGCCACGGTTGAAGCAAAAACAGCTCAGTTGGCAACCAAATACCTGCATAATATTCACAGGGTATTATTCATCAGATTTTGAGTTATTGAAACAGATCAAACCATGCCTCTAAGATATTCTTGCAAGAAAGTAGGTCGATTATGAATTATTATTTTAAAAACAGTGGAAGAAATTGGCAATTCAGAATAACAACTAATCAACCAGAAGAATTGCGAAAATATTTAGAGAACATTATGCAGATCGGTGCTGATAAAAATAATTTCGTCTACACTCAACTGAGCTGAACATGAAGACAACCTTAACAGATAGACCAACTACCTGCATGAATTTGAATTTTCTCGATCAAGGCAACCTCTGAGTATCGAAGTCAACATTTGTTTTTTCTCCATTCGTGACTGGAAGTTCATTATCGCCTCTACTGTTGTTGTCAATATTAATGCAAGGGGGGGAGGTGGCTGTCAAATACGAACAATCTTCGCCTACCTCGCATAACTGGTTCCAAACGTAAACAAGCCATAAGAAACCTACAGGGTTTGTTTACGTTTGGAGCCAGTTTCATACAAGATGATCAGTAGGCTGATTTGACAGCACATCCCCCCCTAGTATTAATGTCGTCTTCATCTTGGTGGGGATGATTTTGAGGATCAAATGCAAAATGATTATTTTCATCGTACTGATTTGGACAATTCTAGATAGAGCTGGAATTAGGGCCTAACAGCTTTTATAAACAATGACTTCTATTGATGATTTCTAGAAATTCAAGGCTAGCCCACGCAAACCAACATCCTCATCAGGTAGGGAAAGACTTCCTCTATCCGATGGTTATGTTGGTCTGCGTGGGCGTGCCGTGAGTTTCTAGAAATCATCGATAGAAGTCATTGTTTACAAAAGCTGTTACGCTCTAATTCCAGCTCTATCTAGAATTTTCGGTAGATAAACTTTCCAATCCACACCGCAGCGGCAACAGAGAGATCCTACTAAAGGTAGCCAAGGCCACCGTAAACAGTAGACTATTTTATGGGATTGAACTAACCTGCCTCTCCAAAGACTCTCTAACCACGCGTCTAGCCTCAACCTACAACCAGGCTATTCGAATCGTCGCAGGTCTTCTGTGGTCTCGCTGAATCGGCATGCGTTGAACTTGGTATACTGTCGTTCCAATATCAAATCGCCGAAACGCTGAGCTGCAGAAAATACAGTTACCTAGAAAAGACCACTGGGAACCACGAGGTCTTTCTCCTCAGAGAGGGGAATAGAGCCCTAGGAAGCCTGGTCCATCAGGAGCTCCCACCCGTGTCCAGGTTACACTGGATCGGAGCCAGAGGATGGACAGAGCCAAACCTACACGTTGACCTTTCGATTGCCAAGCAAGGGATCAACTCTCACGCTATGCACAGCCACCTACACGAAACGAAAATCAATTATTTAATTCATGTGTTTCACTTACACATTTTTGCCAAAGCATCAGCCTTATACATTCCATAAAACAAACCACATAGGTCCTATTAGAATGCATGAAAGGTATGTGTGACCGCTTATACATTTCATTTGACACATGATCTTTATTAACTTTTTGCAAGGCGTCTGCTTATTAGTTGACTTATACATTTTATGAATAAGCAGCAATGGAAATTTGCCAAAAGGTATAAGGAGATTTCTATCCGTGTAGCGGAGCTACTCAGAACTAAGTATGCCAATTTTCAACACCGCTTCACGGACGGCTCCAAGGCTGCGGGAAAAGTAGGATACGGAGCAGCAGATACGTTCAACAGTTTATTCTTTCGACTTCCCGGTCAATGCTTCGTCTACTCATTTGCGTTCCAACCAAGGGGTAAGTCACTCTGTCACTCACAAAAACACACTTCAACACACTTAAAACACCCACAAACACCATTACGTCACATGGTAAGCAAATTTTTTAATCAATTCTGGAACCACTGCAAATACTGTTTACATTCGATTGTTATTTTGTTATTGAGAAAAAAAAACGAGCTAAAAACCGCCGTCCCATCCTGCCGGGAAAGAAAAACATTCTGGATCTGGATTGAAATCCAAAGAAAAGGAAATCCGAAACCGGTTGGGATCCACGAAAGCAGCAGCATCAGGAGGAACAGATGCTAAAAAGGTAAATGTTTCGCATGAAAATCAAGACAAACGCAACGGAACAGTGTCTCATTGTGTATCATAGGTTCTCACTAGCAGCAACCCAATCACGGCCCCACCAATTAATTGCAATTATTGTACCCATTGCTTGGTCCTTGTTCCCGGGTGGCACGTGCCTATTCGTCTTCCTCCTGCAGCGACAGGGTCTGTCTCACTCTGAAAGCCGGTGTACCGAGCTGCGGTCGTATTAGCTCCAAATAACCTTAACCTTCCCGTCGGTTTTGCTTTTTCATTAAGCAAATAACAGCAAAGAAGTCGCAGAAGGCTGTCATTTCAGCGTTATGTTATGGTTGAGGATATGGTTGCCAGAATGTATATTTTTTCGGTTGAAGTTTTGACTGCTCGGTCATCACGATGAAACACCCAGAAACACCTTCCGGCACTCAAAAACACACATCAAACACAGTAAGCACAGATACAAGGTGGCAGAGTGACTTACCCCCTGATCGAAGGCCTACAACAGGACGCGGACGCCCCTCGTCTTAGAGCAGCCTGTCAACTGGGGGCTGTCCTGACCGATCGTTCTTTCAGAGACGCAGTTGGCAACACGAGGTCCCAGCTTTTCAGAGAAGAGATAGGCGTCCCACAAGGTTCAGTTATCGCCGTTACCCTCTTCCTTGTGGCCAGTGATGGAAAAGTTCGCGAAAACTCACTATGACTCGCGAACTTTTCCCTTGGTGAACTTCGTGAAATATCGCGAACTTTTCCAACACTGCTTGTGGCCATGAACGGAGTTTTCGGAGGACTGCTGAAAAATGTTTACATTTTCGTGTATGCTGACGATGTACTTATCGTAACTACCGGCCCAACAGCAGCACGTAACAGGATCAAGGCCCAGGCAGCAGTCTCCACTGTAGCCAGGTGGGCCAGCGCGATAGATTTCCAGCTTCCGGCAACCAAAAGCGTCAGGTGCCACGTGTTTCCATCCGGGCACCGTGTCAGCGGGCCCTATCAAAGTTCAAAACCAGCCTATAACACTGAAGAAGACGGTCCGTATTCTGAGGGTATTTGTTGACCGGTTCCTCAACTTCGAGCAGCACTTTAAGGCGATCAAGAACGGATGCCGCAGTAGGATCAACTTGATCCGCACCATCTCTCGTCCCCACCGGTCTAACAATCGCGACACTCGTTTCCGGGTTGCAAGAGCCGTCATCGATAGTCGCCTACTGTACGGTCTTGAGATGACGTGCATCGCCACCGAAAAGCTCGTTCAGATACTAACACCAACTTTCAACACCTACGTTCGGATTGTCTCCGGTCTTCTTCCGTCAACGCCCGCCGATGCCGCATGCATCGAAGCGGGTATTCTGCCCTTCCGCCATCGTATAACCGCAGCAATTGCAACGAAAGCCGCTGCCTTTACAGCAATGACCTCCGGAAATGACAGGATCTTTCTCCTCGATGAGGGAAAGAGACTCCTCCGCATGACTGCCAAAAGGTCCACTGGTACGGAGACAAAAGTTGGCGCATACCTCCACAACAAATCGAGAGTCGGATAAAGAGCAGGTTCAAGGCTGGAGATAACTCTGCAGCGCTGAGGAGAACAGTAGCCAAACTGCTAGGCTCGGACTACCCAACCCATGCCCACATATACACGGACGGATCGCTTTCCCGAACCGGGGTCGGATTTGTCCTGGTGCCAATCCCAATCCCTCTTCATCCGAAGAATCAAAGAAACGACGAGCAAGTGGACGGATGTGTCGAAACTACGGGACCAGAAGGTGGTTTCTCGTCTTAGGACAGGCCATACAAGGATCTCACATAGTTTTGGTGGGACGCAGTTCTACAGAATGTGCTACGTTTTCGGAACCACTGCATCGGTGGAACACATCCTATGCCTGTGTCCGCAATACCAACATCTACGGGAGCAGTACGCACTTCCCAACAGCATTAAGGGCATACTGGGCGACGAACCTTCCACCTAAGCGACAGTTATTTATTTCCTCAAGGATGCTGCGTTCCTGCACTTTTGGCGATTATGAGTGAACTAAACTCAAATTTGGGTCGTTCTCATTCGCCGTGCACTAGAATGATGCCAAGACGCTCTTGTGCACTAAGCCTTGCGCCTCAAAAAGCACTGGGCATGTCGTTGAAAAAGACAAGGGCATTCTTTCCAGTTCACCACACTACATCCTGTAGCCGCATTTCAATCAGTATTATTCTAATCAGACTCGCAACAAAAGGAAACCTACCTTTCCAGTTCACGTCCCACTAGGATGCGCCTTCCGGATGTGATGATCCAAGCGGCTCTTCCGTCCATACGCAGCCCCGCACTGTTCGCACCGAAACGGTTCGATCCCTTCGTGCACCTTCTGCCGGTGGTACTTCCTCGAACTAAAGCTATTGAACCACTCGTCGCACATATCGCACTTGTACGGTGTGGGATTGCTGTGGTGGCGCTGGTGGTTCCGCAAGGCCTGCATCCGCTTGAACCTCGCCGGACACTGATCGCACGGAAACGGCTGCTCCGTCGTGTGCGTCACCATGTGGATCGGAACCTCGAACTTTTTCAGAAATGTTTTCCCACAAATTGGACATGAATGGGTCTTCTCCGAGGTGTGCAGCTTCATGTGATTTCGCAGCGAACCGGACTGCATAAACCGCTTTCCGCACTCATTGCACTCGTAATTGAGCTCCGTTGTGGTGCAGGTTTCCTCATGCTTCTTCAGGGTGCTGATAGCGAGGAAAGCGTTCCCACAGGAGGAGCAGACGAATTTCCGTTTCTTGTACGGGCGTTTCTTGTGTTGGGTGAGATGCTTCTCGGTTAGGAATCGCTGGAAGCAGACATCGCACTCGAACGGGCGGATGGTGCTTTCCGAGATGCGATACTTGTTGTGCTGATCCGTTCGGTGGGCTTCCAGTTTCTGGAGGCTGTCGTACACTTTGCCAGGGCAACTGCAACAGATGAACAGCGATTGATCTGAGCACAGGTCGAGAGATTTTCTTCTCCTGCGAGGTTTCCTGCTTTTGGGTGAAGAAGCTGATTGTTGCGGTTGCTCGGTTGGGGTATCATCCGGGTCCATGAAGTCCGGATCATCCAAAGCTTCGAGGCGTTCGTAATCTGCCTCCGCTGGGTCGTGCATCTCTACGACCCATTGTTCCGTGATCACTTTGGTTTCATTGTTCTCCTGGGTTAGCTTGATTTCTTCGATAACGATGGTACTGTCCAGGGATTCTGAGGTCATTTCGGCGTCTTCCTCGTTCGAGATGGACCCACTTGTTGATGATTCTTCCAAAGGTTTTTCATCCGACCGGTGAAGATTCGTTTGAAGGATAGTGGCCGACTGAATGCACAGTTCCTTGAGTTTGGCGAATTTGTTGAAATCTTCGACGCAGGTGCTACAAACGAACTGGGACAGTCCATCATTTCGTTTGATCTACGGGCAGTGCAGAAAGTGATAAAAATTGTTTGGGAAATTTTAAATTATTATTTATTGCTTACTACCAGACCCGTGCAGTAAACGATCGTTTTGGCGACGGTTAGTTTTCCCTGGACGGAAAATAACGGAGCGTACACGGGGCGGTCCTCTGCCAGACACACCCGGCACACGTACATCGCTATTTCGGGGGAGATTTCGACGTATTTTCCGGATAATACCCGCAATAAAGCACGAATCCACGAACGGATCGAGAAAAATGTTTGGGATTCGCGTCGTGAAAGCGTAAACAATCAACACTTTTTGACGTTTCGCCTTCGCACATCAATCGTTGATGAAGCCGTTACGTTTTCGGTTTTGTTTTCCTCCCGTGTACCGAAAAGATCGCAATCGAAACTGTCAAACACTGTTCGGCATTTTTTTTTCTAGGTTATGCGATAAACCGTTCCCTCGGATAGAAAAAAAGAAGCTGCGTCGTACGCTGTAAACAAGCGATTCTCATCGTAAATAAAACGATTATTGAATTCCTACAGCCGGAAACAAGTCATTCGTGTGGAAAAAATGTCCGATGCCGAGATGAAAGCGGTGGATGATTCGAATGTAAGTCACAAAATTGCTCAGTTTTATTGAATTCGTTTGGCTATGACGTATCTCGCTTTCCAATTGCAGGAAGACTCGTTGGAAGATGAGGAAAGCCTGAAGAAGGAAGCTGGCGCTGGTTCCGGAGAAGGAAGCTCATCCGACAGCGATAGTGACGATATGGATGATGACGATGATGTAGCGGAGGAAGCCCGTCAGATTAAGCAGTACCTGGAACTGCTGGGAAAGATCCAAGAGGACAAGTACAACTACGACGTTTACTTGCAGCTGCTGGAGGTTGCTCAGTAAGTTGACTCGGAATTCGTACCATCTTATCAATGGAAATAATGCAATGTTGCTTTCAGTCAAATGACCGACCTGGACAAAATCCGCCAAAGTGCGGAGATATTTGCCGAAGTGTATCCCCTTTCGCCGGAGATTTGGTTGCGTTGGTTGAAAATAGAAACGGCAATGGCATCATCGCCGGAGCAGCTAACGGAGGTGGACAAACTGTTCCGGCGAGCTCTGGGGGATTACTTCTCGGTGGAAGTAGCTGCAGAATACGCGAATCTGGCCGCTAAAGCTTCCAAGGAGCTCTCGGAAGCGATTTGGGATGCGCTGATCCCCACTTACGGCTTGCACGTGACCAAAGGACGAGTCATCTTCGAAGCGTACCGGGAAGATTTTCTGGGTAAAAGCGAGGAGCCGGAGGCGAACCGCTTGAATCGCCTGGCTCGCATCTACGAGCAGGAACTGAAAATTCCGCTCAAGAACATGGAAGATTCCTTCATCGAGTACAAGCTGCTCTGCGAGAAGTACAAGAACATCCTGACGGATTTGAATATGGAAAAGTTTGAACGACGCTACAGACAAGCGAAGGAACTGCTACAGAAGATGCTCCCGTTTGAGGAGAGGTTGGTCAAGTTGGAACCGCACTGTCACCAGGAACGGGCGGATCTGTATCGGGAGTACATCCGAGAATGTCGCTCCCAACTGGGGGACGATGAATTGCAAGTGCTGTACGAGCGTTTGGTGGCAGATTGCTGTCTGGATCCGACCGTTTGGTGTGATTATCTGAAACACCTGGACAAGTACCCACCGGATGAGGACGAGGATTCGCCTTCACCGGTTTTCAGCCAAACGGCGGTGGATTTGGTCAATAGAGCGCTGAGGAACTGCCCTTGGAGTGCGGAACTGTACGTGGAGAAGTTGAGGATTTACGACCGGGAGAAGCGTGGCAAGGAGGATATTCTGAAGATTATGGAGGAGGTGGCGACGGTGGAGTTCCAGGCCCCGGAACCAGCTGTAAAGGTTTGGCTGGAGTATTTGACCTACTTAAGAAGACAAGCCAATTACGAGGACGAGAAGGAACGGGACATATTGAGGTCGAATTTCGAGTTGGCCTGGAATCAGCTGGGCAGAACTTGGGGCGAGCTGGCCGATCCCGAGTGCAAGATATTGCAGTTTTGGGGCAGGCTGGAGTACGGTTCGCTGGGAGATCCGCTGAAGGGGCGTGAATTATGGCAAAACGTCATGGACAGTTCGGACAATTGTACCCGGGTGGGGCTGTGGATTGAATATGCAGAACTGGAATCGCGACGTGGCCTGGATCCGGTGAGGAAGGTCTACCGGAAGGCCATCGGAGCTGTAGGATTGAACGATCCGGAAACGCTGGCCGCTGCCTGGATGAGATTCGAACGATGCAACGGCTCGCTGGATCAACTGACCAGCTGCCAGGAACATTGCATGGCCATGATCCAAGCGTACTACAAGTCTCTCGGACAGCAGCGATTCCCGAAGGGACGCCGCTCGGACCCAAACAAGGAATCCGATCAAGGCGAATCGTCCAAGAAGAAAAACCTCAAGCGACCACACGATAAACAACAATCTTCCGACGAAGAACCTTTCAAGAAGCCAAGCAACATTCCAATCGGAACGAAGAAGCCAGACTCAAGCCTGGAAGACACTACGAAGCGTATCCGGTTGGATGAACCTAAACCGGTAGACACTGCCAGCGACAGCAAGCGATTGTTCTTCAGCAATCTGAGCTTCGACGCTACGGAGGATCAGATCAAGGCCACCTTCCCGGAACTGCAGTTCAAATCCATTGAACTGGTGCACGGTTCCAGTGGCAAGAGCCGAGGCTTCGGCTATGCAGAATTCGAAAACGAACAAGACGTTCAGAAGGCCCTGAGCTTCGATCGACGTCCTCTGGACGGTCGTCCGGTGTTCATCTCCTCCCTAGCCAGGGACAAATCCAGCCGACAGAACAAGTTCAAGTACTCGGAAAAGTTCGAACCGAACAAACTGTTCATCAAGGGACTCCCATTCGAAGCGACCCAGGAAGACGTCAGCAAACTATTCGAACCCTACGGGAAGCTGAAGGACGTCCGGCTGGTTTACTACCGCAGCGGAAAGAGCAAGGGGCTGGCCTACGTGGAGTACGAAACAGAAATGGCAGCCAAGAAGGCCGTAATGCAGTTGGATCAACACAACATGAATGGGTTTACCATTTCGGTGGCCCTTTCCGCTCCTCCACCGAGGGGAAATCCAACGGCCACAACAACGATGGAAGTGGAACAACCGGCCAGTAGCAGTCTGGGCTCCGGAAAGCGGCATGTCGTTAAAGGGTGAGTAAAGACCTATCCTTGTTTCAATTTAAAATCCTTTAACGAACACTCGGCCTTCCATTTCAGAGACGTCAAGCAAAAGTTATCGTCGCTGATTCCCACGGCTTTACTGAGAAAAACCATCCCAGCTGGACCACTCGCCGTCGACGCCGCCAGCAAACCCAAGTCCAACGAGGACTTTCGTAAGCTACTCCTGAAAAAGTAGCTCCCTACTTTCCGTTTACCGTTCTATGTTTTTTCTTGCGTTTTCATCATGTTCCTAAATTAAACATATTGTACGTGTGTGTGTCATAGCCTCGGAACATTTCTTTTCCGCTCTACCGAGAAGCATTACCTGAACAACGTATCCTTACCAATTACCACCTCAAATGGTATATATTTTTGTGACTTCAATGTTCTTAAGCTAACAATAAACAACCGATGATGCTTACCATTAGAGCTGCTACTTGATCTTGACACTCCTCTTGACGAAGGCCTTGATCCCGGTTGCTTCCCCGGCGTACCGCGTCGTTTCCGTCCGGACGGGTCGAACCGTTCCCTTCCTGCGCACCAACGCTTTCTGGAACTTACGCCGATTCTTGACCCGAATGTTCCGATCATCCTTCTTCTTTCGTACAGTAAGACCCTTGTTCTTAGCCATTTGGTAGGTAATCTTGCGCTTGCTCTTCCCATCTTCCATCTGCTCCTCGTCCTCTTCCTGCGGCATTTCATCTCCTTGCTCCTCCTCTTCGGAATCACTGTCAGCCAACCGCACCTTCTTGGCCGTCGGTTCATCCGATTCCGACTCATCATACTCTTCTTCCTCACCACCAAGTTTTTCACCAGCTTCCTCCACGCCTTGCAGCATGGTAAGTTTCTTCTTACCCTTCGGTTTCTTTTCCACCTCCACCGAAACTTGCTCCGCCTCAAACACCAACTCGTCCCCTGCAGCGATATGCTCCAGAATGGTTTCCACCTGTGACTTGATCGAGTTCTCATACTTCTGCTCCAACTCCAACAGCAGCTGCTTCATTTGCACCATTCGCTTCACCACCGGATGATTCTTGACCTTGCTCTTCTTCGACTTCAACAGCAAATAGAAGCTTATATTATTACAGTAGCTCAAGCATAGGTCGTATCGCGTTTTGAGAAGTTCCACAAACGGATGATCCGTGATGTCCTTCTCTCTCAGATACTTTAGCACCGGCTCAAACACCGTATGACATTCCTCCAAGTTCCTCTCGAAATCCTCCACCAACCCGTCAAACTCCGGAGCCTCCTTCCGGAACAACTCCCTCTTCTGCCGCTCGCTCAAGTCCGAAAGATCTGCCTTCAACTTGATCTCCGTCTTCTCCTTCTTCTTTGACTTACCCTTCTTCTCCTCAACCACATCCTGCTCCGGAACGAACACATCCAACGAGAAATCTGCCTCGTTCAGTTCCTTAGCCAGTCTCTGCTGAATTTCCTTCGCTTCAATCTCCTCCAACTGCGCCCGTTCCTCTTCCTGTGCCGTTAAACTGTCATAATCCTGATCCACATAGTCCGCTCCGTAGAAAGCCCTCGCCTTGTCACCCCACGCTTTCCGGTCCGGCAGGTCGTCATCGTCCTCCTTATCCTCGATGTCGCTGTCGTGTTCAAACTTACGAATGTCGATATCATCATCCTCGTCCTCTTCAGACTCATCGCCCTCGTCGAATCCCAGAACTTCCTCTTCGTTATCTGCTGCACCTTTGCCTTTACCTTTGCGATCACGGATACCCTTTAGCAGCTTCTTCTCCCGCTCGTCGTACTCGTTCTCCGAGTCGGACAGATCGTAGCGATCGCCAACGTCGTATATACCGATTTTGTCCGGCATTTTTCCTGCGGGGAAATCACCGTGAATCAATTATGGGACAGAAACGAATCCGCGGATGTTTTGCACGTGTTTTTGTTTTGTTTTCGCGTTGTCGAGAGTTGAACTTGAGCGTTACATTCGGTTACGACAGTGATCCCGGGGTGCCAGTTCACAATTTTTCACGAATCGAAAAAAAACTACACGGAGTGAAAAGCATAGTTAAAACTAGAAATACTCAGAGCAACGGTAACGGGCGTTGTCATTTGCGCGACTATTTTAACAGCGCACAGCGCCCTCATTTTAGTTTAGTCACTCGCCGTAGTCCGTACACGGTAAAAAACCATCATGTTCATGTAAAGTGATTTGCTGCTGAATTTGCACTACTTGCCAAACATTGCAATTCGATGTGCAAATCCCTTGGAAGAGATCATATTGAAGCACGATGAAATCACAGACAAACAGACGTAACTCTTCATTGTTAATCTTCGTTCATGCAATTAACGGTTGATTTGAATATTATCAGTTCCGCGAACTACTCGCCGCAGCGCTGGCATCGGATCACTTTGACGTTTCTATATATTCTATAGAACTTTTATGCAATATTGTTTAAGAGTTAGCGAGCAAGCTTGTTTTCCGCGAGAAGCCAGAGAGATGTCGTTACTGAGGTTATATGTTTTGAGATACTATGTTTCCAAGAACAAGTTTTTCAAAGAGTTACGTCTGTTTGTCTGTGATGAAATCATGTGCAAATCACTTCATTTTAGATTGTACTACATCGTTGTTGATGTGCTGTGCTTTGAACTCGAAATGTCAACCATACTGATGTTAACAATCTATCACTTTAAGTTTAAATAACTTATCCTTCGATTTATTTTTTGCTGAAAATGGGTTTAAACAAATATATAGTCTTGTTCATGCTGCAAGCCTTGTTATATTTTATTCAGAATATGACCATTTCATATTACTACCCAGATCACATGTTTCCAAGTGGCATTGAACAACATCGCAAGGGTTTTATTAGAAGCATAGTGAAACATTGAGCAATAAATTTGATAAGTTTGACACTGTTTTGTAATCGAAATTATCTGAATAATACACTATTATTGACTACAGCAACAATTTCGTATTACTGACGCTCTAGAACGCAAATTATTTCGGGTGGAGATGGAGAAATATCCTTGGAAATATCGCTTCTCTCGCTTAACTTCATTTGTTGTTGACTTGCCATCTTTGCGAGTAATGTTTGTCATGTGCGTTTTGACATTTGCTTCCAAAAGCAAAACTAATCAAATTCAATGGATGAAAACAGTGGTGCCGATTCAAATGATAATCATTTTGATTTAAAGATGTTATACACATCCCGCATAAATCACAACCATACGATTACCACATTGAAAATGGTTTATCTTCCTCTGAAAACCATAATGAGAAAGGTTCAGTAAACTTTAATCAAACCATACCTAGATAAAGTTTTGACCATATGGATTAAGGTTTTCGAAGACCCAACCATACGAACAATGGGTGGTTAAGAACGTTCACCATACGGAATCTCGCTTTTTCCCATACATTTTTATGAGATGGATAATAACTAGGCACGCCATGACTTTTCATACACATTTCCTGACAGTTGGTAAAAGGCCATTTGGATTGAAGCTGCTGCACGGGTAAGTTCAACATTCACTATCTGCGTCGTGGGTGATTTGCCCATAACCAATATCGGCGGATTTTCACAATTTTTAGCAGAACAACTATAGCCTTACCACATCAGCAAAGGTTCTAGTTGGATATGCGAAACTATTTCCATTAACTTTCGAATAAGGTAGTACGGTTTAGAACCAACCATTGTTGTTAACTTCATGATATACTATGACATGGTATAAATTACCATACTTATTGACGTTATAATAAATACTGTCGTAGCTTATCCGGAATACAGCCATCAGGTGATTTACAAGATTTCTTTTTGTGGATACCTCCCTTGCCCTTGGTAACATGTTTATTGATCTTAATATAAAATGAATTTTCCCTGCAAAACAAACTCCATTCCATTTCTGGAAGATAAAAAGGCCCCGGCAAAACGAACCTGCTTCGATTTCCTTTTTGGATGATGTGAGCCACCAGCATCGAAATCTCCTTCACATGTTAACCGCTGCTAGCCCTGAATATTTGTGTAGAAAATGCATGCGCTTTTAAAAAATATTTTATACTTTAAGCTAATATTACCAAAGATGCTTTACCGAGGGTTTTAAAAATAAAATAACGAACAAAACAACACAATGAACTCACGAGTACCGTTTCAATCAAAAGCGTTTTCTTCTGTTTGTACCAATTGTAAAAACATAAAGCAACCATAATCGAAACACGTAAGCGTTGAACAAGTTGTTTACAACTTTTATTCGTAATGTTTTGTAACAGTTCAGTATAGTTGATCAACCGTAACAAAATTTAGCTGGAACATACCAGAAACTGTAACAGTTGAAAGTAGTGTTTCTTTAATGTTTATTACATTCCATAAACCATTACAAAACTATTTTGTGTAAAGTTTACATAGCTAGTAAGGTGTCAGTGAAGTTTGAACTGTTCTAGAAATGGTATTTTTCTATGCGGGATATTTTTCAACGACAAATCACTTTGTTTCAAAACGCAAATAACTTGAAAATCAATGATAAATCACTTCGATTCGTAGTGCCGCATAACAGACTGAGTCAAGTGCAAGAGCATTTGGATTAGATGTGATAACTTTTTACCGTGTACCGGTAGTGAGCATTTTGACATTTCTACGAATAGCAACCTTTCTCCCGTGCTGCTAAATTTGGTAACGCGCTTCTCACCGAGAAGCTGACTGCTATTTTAGTTACTCGTATGGCAACCCCCGATACGGTAGAGCTGCGCTATGCTGAGGGCTGCTAAAATGAGTTTAGCAGCGTACCGTTACGGTTGCTCTCAAGGCCCACGCACATTAGATCCGGATCGGACGCGTTGCGGCAAAGTGACAGCTAAATCTATTGTCTAACTGTCAAATTTACGTCAACGCAACGCAAATGGATCTAATGTGGGTGGCCCTTAACAGCGTATCAAAATTTTGCTCGGGCGACACATCTAAATCTCAATTCTAGATGCTCAATAAATCTCACACTAGCGAATAAATCTTCGAAAAATCTTCTTTAATTTTTCGCATCTACTTGCATCGCGCATCATCTTTTTGCAGAAAATCTTCAAAATCGACATAATTCTTCTGTCTATCTACTCAGCGTGTGTAGCTAGACCTTCTGGTCTTAAGGGCCACCCACATTAGATCCGTTTGCGTTGCGTTGACATAAATTTGACAGTTAGACAATAGATTTAGATGTCACTTTGCCGCAACGTGTCCGATCCGGATCTAATGTGCGTGGGCCTTTAGAGTTACCTCTATGCTATAAGAGAGCTCTCTACACAGCAAAAAAAATGTAATATCGATCAACGTAATTCAAGCTGATATATGAAATATAGATGTAATAGCAAAAAGCAGATACAATATTACATCAATGGATGTTATTTTGTTCGTAAAATCGATGCATCGTACAACGTAATATCATAGAGATAACTCTAAGACAAGTAGGTCCCGAAGAAACGTGCTCAACTTTTTGGCTCACCTCTGGTACTATCTTCGGTCCCATGCTTGTCGAATCACCCCTCGAAACATAGGAAAAACCAATAACCCCTCATTTTATCTGTCAAACTTTCATAGCGAATCAAAACAAACATTGCGTAGTACTAGAATTTCGACTAGAATAGGGTACGTTAATCGTTTGCTTGGGACCAATAGGCTACTAAAGTGGTGAGCCAATTTAAAATCGTTAGTTTCGTATTGATTGTTGGTAATATTACACAACCGGCGGAATGATCTCTGTGCACACTGATAAATTAAACTATTCCTATTTTGCTTGGAATTTAATCAATTTGGCATTGAACTCTGTTTAATCATATCAAATGATTAAAAATTAATACTCTCTTTCTAAAAAATAAGTATCTGACATTAATCTCAGTTTAATCACGATTGATTAGATTGAAGATTATCTTTTTTGAATAAATTTTAATCATTTTTTTATTCTATTTTAATAATTTTTGATTGAATTTTAATTTTTTTTGATTATATATCAGTATTTTTTTTTTTTTTTTATTTAAATGCGTTTATTTTTCCAGGCTCATTTGCCGTAGCTTTGCGGAGCCGATATTCATTGTTTGGATGACAAAATTTCTTAAAACTAACGTTAGTAAAGCGGGGGCCGATTACTCGCGGCTATCTCGAGGTTAGGGGTAACAAATTGTAACAAATGGATGGCAGGGTAGGGATTGAGAACACAAGGTTTGGAGAGCAATGTGCTTTTTATCTCGAACTAAGCGACCAACTGACGAAAAAGACAAACATGGGGGTACACCGATGGGCAGCTAACAACTTGGGGGAACACAAGATGACACTAACTACTAAATCCTCAGATCGATCCGTTTTAAAAACACATAAATTAAATTAAAATATTCGAGATCTCGGCTCGCCAAGATGTCTCTAACGGGCCGCATAGGTTGTTTTCCTCGGGCCCTGAGGGATGCGGATAACTCGGATCTAGCAACACAATGTAGGGTGCATGACCAAAGCACGTGGTCGATATCGTGATAGCCACTACCACAAGCGCACAAATTGCTGCCTGCGAGCCCGATTCGGAAGAAATGCGAGTCTAACGAGTAGTGATTGGACATGAGCCTTGATATGACACGTATAAAGTCACGGCTCATGTCCAATCCTTTGAACCATGGCTTGTTCGACACCTGTGGGAGAATAGAATGTAACCATCTTCCCAGATCACTCTCATTCCATTTTTGTTGCCAGTTGGTGAGGACGTGCTGACGGGTAATTGAGAAAAATTCCGCAAAGGCGATTTGTCGATCAAAAATATCGCCTTCCATAGCGCCCACCTTAGCTAGCGAGTCCGCTTTCTCATTACCCGGAATTGAGCAATGAGATGGGACCCAAGCTAAGGTGATAGTATAGGAGCAGTTAGATAAAGTACTCAATTTTGCTCGGATTTCGGTCAGG